ATGGGAGACATATGGAAAGAATCGCCTGGATGGTGTCATGCTATGTAGAAATGAGCCCTCTATTGTCATCCTGTAGCACAGTAAATACAGCATCTCCGTTAGCAGGCCATCATCCTCCTATTCTCATGGCAACAAAAGGCCTAAGGGTTTGAGAAACATTGTTGGCACTTGTCTGGTCTTGAACTTATTTAGCTTGCTTGTAGCTGTAACAGCGCATCACCAGTAGTCAGCTTACTAGAGTCTAATTTGGTTTAGCTATACTGGTAAAACTGTCTAATAAACAGCTAATTAGTGTCTAATTTGTTTTTAATTTTAGATTAGTTTTGTAGAACTAGCTATTACACCAAAGCATTGTACTATATATGATCACTAATTTTGCAAGCTTGTTATCATTATGTTATTAAATTTGTAGGCCAGCCAGGAAGATGTTGACAACCAGCTGCCTGGAAAAGTTCAGGAATCAAGCTGTCCCCCAAAAAAACACAGCCACTATATACACACCAGCACATCACCAGGTGAAGAACCTGACACTGCAACCAGCTGCAACATCCCAGCTAAGGAAAAAAAGACCCTCCATATATAGAAAGTCTATATATAACAGTTTCACTAGTTTATTAGTAGGAATTAGAAATAACTGGAAAAATGTAACAGCAAGCTCTGTTATATTAACTGGACTGGTAATAGCTGCTGCTACTATTTTGCATAATTGTTAAAGCGCTAATTACAGTAACAATACATTCCAATTTTTGGCTCCATTTAAAAGGAGCCAAGTGTTCATTCTAGGCATAACATTATCAGTTCTTGTTCATCCAACCACTGAGTAAAAACCTACTAGGATTTAGCTCATTTTCCTGTTTTCTTTGTTATTTTTTTTCCCCACTGAGAATTTTCATTGAATTATTTTCTTTGACTTCCTCTTTTCTTTTCAGTTATGCAATGTACTTCCTGCAATCCTTTCTTGCCCTGAAGGCTTGTGAGAAGGGTTTTCAAAAGACTGGCTGCTTTTTATACAGAGAACCTGACACGTACCTACACTTCAGGGCCTGCTCTGGTGTTGTTCCCCATTCAGCTGCATTTTGTGAGAATAAGTATTTTATCCCAGAAACAATCTGCTATGTCAGTCTAGTCTCTGGTAACTGTATCAGACAGTTTGCCCATGTACACAGCACCTAAAGGAATGCGATGTTCAAATCTCTCTGGAACTAAACTGACTCAGGTGCTTTGCTCCTTTTGGAATCCACGCATCTATTTTTGTCCTGCTCACTCCCACAGTATCATGCTTTCCTGTCAGGATATTGTGTGCCAGTTTTCTCTTTACCTTCTGTTCCTTCTGCTCTGGCACATTTTCTCCAGTTCAGGCTCTCTTTCCAACTTTCTCTATCCTATCAGTGTTGAAAAGGAAAAGGAGGAGGAAGAGTCATTAAATGGAGGTGGTTTTCCAGCTAGTGGATTCTCAAATCCTAGACATGGATAATCATCATGCATTAGGGGATTATCAAGGAGTGAAGGTCTCCCACCGAATGCTTCCTGCACTTCACATATTTACCTCAGGTGTCTAAACAAGGATGCTGCCTTTAGTCCTAAAAGGAGCTCCTTTCCCTGCATGTGGAGGACAAATCGTCCCTAACATCCCAAACCTCAGTCAAGAGGTGCTCTCCTTTCTCCTTGAGCATTCAGGGTGCAGCCACAGAAATGCCTCCATCTTTGTCTTGGTTCCTCAACATGCATCCACCCACATTAATTCCCCCCTGCCAAGTGAAATCTCTCCCAGCCTTGAGTAGCATTTTTGTTTTGAACTTGCACTTCACTTTCCTTGTGTCTTCTCAGCTATCTTTCTTGTTACCTTAGTCTCTTCCCAGAAAGTCCGGGCTGGTTCTGTGGTTCTTTAAGCTTAACAGCAGCAGTTACCATTTTCAGCCCACAGCCAGTGCTGTCTGCTGGGCCTCTGCTCTAACACATCTCACCATACACTGTGTACCTACCTGTTCCCTACACTTTTTTCCCAAATCCTGCAAAAGTCATGTCCAAAACAAGAACTTTATTTTCTGCTCATTTCCTATTCATGAGCTCTATTGGTTTTGTTACTGAATCAAAAGTTATTCAACAGCCAGAAGAGTTTTTAGACCATCGCCTTTTAGGCCTCTCCCGAAACCAAGAGCTACAGCTACCACATGGAATAGCCACAAGCTACCAGAGGCAGTAGAGAACATCTTTGTCGGCCACTCCATTTTCTTGTCAATAAAGGAGTTGCTGTCCTCACATTTTGTCCCTCACGTTTCCTAGGCCCTTACTGACAAATACGGCTGTGCTGCTAAAAGCTTTCCAATCCCTTCAACAGTAATTCCACATGGCTAATGACTACCGCGTTAATTACTGCATTCGCCCCAGCCTTGAGACAATTAAGGGCCACAGTAGGCTAGTTGTCACCCACACAGAAAGGGGAAGCATAGTGGATGTTTTTCCTCACAGCACGTGCAATTCACAGGGTTATTGCCAAAGCTGACACACGCTGCTTCTTTACAAGGAATTTACCACCAGTGGAAACTTTGGCCAGTATCCCTTCTTATCATAAAAGTGTTTATCTCAAAAATCAGCACATATAAACAGGAGACAAATAATCACTTTTTCAACCGAAATAAATCACCTTTTTTCTTCTGCAGCAGTAGCTAAAACTTCTGGAGGTGCTGGATGGGAGAGTTCCTATCAGCATTACCTTGGGCTAAAGAAACAAATGGTTACTTTGCTGTTTTAAAAATTGTTTTCTTTATTTTTAAGCTAAGTAGTTAGGTATAATAGGTACTTCAGGCATTGACAATGTAGCAAACAGTCTCAACAGTCATAAATGGAATGATAAGACAAGCAGAAGTCTGAGTCATGCTCATTAAAAACTGAAATTAGGCACTCTGCGAGCAGTAAGATGAGAAACAATTCAAGACCTGCTCTTCATCTTGAACATGACCTATTCACTAAAATAGAGCTCACCTGTCTATTCCCCCCCTTCAGATACAGTTTATAGAAGCTCCAATCCCATCTCAGCCAATTCCCAGTTTTCATCTTTCTTAAGCATATGAAGATCTTTTAGCATACCTGTATCAGCTTTCATTTTATTAAAATGAATTAAGTTCTTTAAAAATGTATTAAAAAACTGCAAAGAACATATGCAACATGATCCATTCATAAATATTCATTATGTACTGGATGTACTGTCTTCCCCACTCTCAGTCCTTTCCTCCTGGTGGATTCTGTACATGCAAAGTTTTGCTTGTTGTTCTCATCAGTGCTTTGGGAATTGTTTTCAAGTTACAGAAAAGCGTTTTAAAGTTTGAATATACCAAAACCTCAATTTTTAATTTTCAGAAGACACATTATATCATTTCCCTCTCTAAAGAGAGCATAGAAGCATAGAATAAGCTGTAGTCACATTTGAAACAAATCCTGCCATATTAACTGGGTACAGAGTTCAAGAACTCGAGAAATGAGGTGGTACGTTTTTCCCCTCGCATTGCATTAATGCATAAAGTGCCTGGGACTGGTTATAAGGAAGCATACCACGGGGCATGCAGAACCCCAGTTAAACTTCCTATTTATCCTGTATTCGAGGGTAGAAACTGGGTATAGAAGGAACCATCACCTAGTAAATACTGCTTATTAGGCAAGGAGAGATACCTTTTACATGACTATACACTGTCCATCATACTGGCTAACTAAAATTTAGGGAACTACAGCTTTCATTAGTGTCTAAGAACGGTTCACTGGCAGAATTATATCTTTTGGGTTCCTCCATCTGCAGCTATTTTTCCCATTGTCGCTGGAAAAGATGGATAGTTATGAAGGGTACACGCAAATAAGTGACTATTTCTTCTTTTGAATGCTTGCTCACACATATACATTTTACTTTCATTATACACAGTAGATTATTAGCATGTCTCCTATGTATTCCTATCTAAACAAGTCACAGAAGGAACTCAGGTGACAAATCTGTTTAGGAAATAGCTCTCAATCACAGTTAGCTGCCCTCCACATGTTTAATGGAGAAATATGCTTAAACTAAACATGTTTCAACTACAGGTGCTGTGTGAGGATCAGCAGACTTGACTCTTTCCATCAAGGGTACAACTAAATGCTTATATGTATGCGTGCTCAATGTCATTTAATGCAAGAACACACTTGGCACCACACCAAGGCTGACATACATTAGTCTACTCAGTCTCTGACCTCTAGCAGAGCACTAGTTTGGACATCAAGTAGTTAGAAAAATATTAAGTTCATCTTCGTGTCTTGCTGCTTTTTTGTTGGAGGACATTTTAAAAGAAGACAGCGTAGTTCTTTGTCATGGTCTTTGGTCAAAAACCTTGAGATGTTCATGTCTGAAAAAAAGGAAAGTTCCATTGAGATCCTTATGAGCTTAGCTTGCACCCCTGCTCCCATACTACTTAATACAAAGGAAATCCACGTATTAGAAAACATGTGGAAAAATGGTTATGTCTGAAAAGGCAGGCCTATCAAGCCATCAAACGCTAGCTCTCCTGACAAAAATGTATTCACTATACAGTGAAAACCATCAATCTTTAATTAAAGGGCAGAACAGTTTATGGTTCTCTTCAGCCATCCAGAAAGAAGTCTACGGTGTAAGTGAACAGCAAAATCATGCTTCGGAGGAAGCTGCCTCACAAAGGATACTAATTTGATTGGAAAGATTAGTGCTTGTGACTTAACACCTATCATGAAATTGCTATAAAGTGGTTCTGTTACTTGAACATGAAAGGCTAGGAGAGACAATCAGAACAGGCCAAATAAAATGCTACTTCAAAACAAAATAGAGGAAAGTAGAAGATAGAGGGTAGGGTGTTAGAAAATAAAGAAGCTTTCAGAAAATACTTACCAGTGGGAAGAAGAATAGGAAATTCACCCCAGGCTTTTGGAGAAGACTTGAAAATTAGTAGTAAAGATTAGATTTGGGTAATGGGGAAAAGAAAAACAAAATTATTCTTCCCTTAGACTATTTTCATTTACTTTTCTTTTGTTTTATTGGTGAAAAAAGTCACTGAACATGAACACCATATCAGAAACCCTAATGCCTAAATACACAGAAGAACAAAGTAAAAGCCAAAATATCTACATTGAAACAAAGTAATGACAACCACTCTTAATTAGCGCTGAATTCACTGCTCGAACACACACCAGCCTTGTTTGTTTTCCTTCCCTTGAAGCTGTCACACATGACCTTCAGTATTGAATGGAAAGCCATTTAATCAAATGCTTTTAAAGCCTTCTTTACAGTTATTTCATTTTAGCCTTGAGCTTGCAAAAAAATGTTACTGGACCATTTCTGTCTCTGAGCACAGGTCAAGCAAAGGCTGTAGAGACAAGAAAGTAACATATATTGCTACTTCAACTGAAGTCAGAGGTTTGTTTTTTTTTTTTTTTAATCAGTTAGGAAAGATACAAACCTAGTTCAGCAGATACAGGTTTACAGTGAATTCAGGAGATAAATGCTTTGCTGTCAGAGGTAAAAATTTAAATAAATATTTACATATGAAACAAAAGTCTATACAAACAAACTCTCCCTGGGGTATTCTCTTTAAAGGAGAAGGCACTCAGTGGTGAAGAACTGTTGCAGTAGAACAATGCTGACTATAGCAGCCCCTTCTGTCTTTCATTTCTTTGTTCAGCTTTCACAGTGTTCCCACAGATTCCAAAGTATTAGAAGGACAAGTTTCACACATATCCTTCTCCAGCAGTTAGTTTAGATGCAGGAAGCTCTCTTCCAAAGATTATTTTGAAGAGAATCAGACATCGTGAAGAGATTCAATACTTGCTTCAACAGCAGTCATCCTCGCCTCCAGAGCCTTTAGTATGGTGTCTGCCTGTAAGGTAAACATGGAAAGATGCTTGGTTAGAAACAGAAATCAACAATACAAGAACGATGCGTAGATGTCAGCATTCCATTTTCAGAGCCAATCTGATTATGCTGTGCTCCCAGCTATCCCCACAACCTCTTTGTGTAGCAAAATTCCACTCCTTACACAGGATCTCAATACAAAGTAAGAGCAAAAGCACGAAGTCAGTTTAAGCACAAGACAATCCTATAGAAGAGACACGATTAAAAGCTAAATGAAAACGTGAAGGTTGGACTTGATGATCTTTCAAGGATCCTTCCAACCCAGGCTGGTCTATGAACTGCCAAAGTCAAGCTTTTCTCATTACAGACAGATCTAAATCTAATCTAAAGCTGTATTTGATAAATAGAAAACGCTAATTAATGTGAAAACTAGAAATGAAGTTACTGAAAGCTTTAGATAGCAAAACAGCACAAAGTGATAGCATATATTAAAACCCAGAGTTGATCTGGATGAAGTTATAGGTTGCTCTGCAGAAACAATTTAAGGATATTAGTATTTCACAGTGGTGACGTACACAAAGAATGATGCAAAATTAAGTCTTACCCTTTCTAGTGCTTCTTCCAAGGCAGCTCGACTTTCAAGAGTTAGAGGTTCTTCATCAGTAGCAGCCTGCTTTTCTGAAGATCCTAAAGTGTAACTGATATGCTACAGTTTAGATCATGCACTTTTCACTCTGAAGGCAGAAGAATGAGCGTAAGATTCATCCACCATTCTCGATGATTACAATTAATACACTAACACAGTAGAAGAATGATTCCAGGAACAACAACAACAACACTTAGTCATCTTGCAAACAAACCGTTTGGTGGAATGAAAACGGTTTTAAGTTCAAACAGTAACGCTCAGATAAGAGTGTGGGGACTGAATTCTGGATGTAGTTATCAAGGAACGATTTAAGACCAGTTTCAAGTGCTACAAATCAGATGAAACCGATATAACAGCAGACCTTCATTTTCCAGACACTTATTAAGCCCCTGTGCTTGTGTTCTCTGCTGATGACACACACCTCCAATGGTTTGGAGCCAGGCATATTGTGTATTACCTATGACTGCAGGTATTAGTTATGACTGCAAGGTCTTTTTCTCTTGTCTAGGGCAGAGCACATATGTACTCACTTCTGAGAAGCTGAGAAGGAACCCTCCTGTGTTGTTTACAGGAATTTTCAGAGGTGGTATGCAGTTTCTAATACTGGTGACCCTGATACTTTCCTTTTCTGGGACTTGTCTAACATTACACAGATGGTGCAGCTACAACTTCAGCACCACGACGCTAGCTGCAGTAACACAAGGTGCAGAAACAGCTCTCTCTATGCATGCTGTGAATGTTAACAGCAGCGTCTTTGAACATGACGCCCGGAGGGTGAGGTTTATCTTAGCGAAAAGAATCCTGCCTTTACCTTTCAATCGAGTCAACGTTGAAACAGAACAAATCCCTCTTGTAGTCCAGATGTTTCGGGGTGCACCTGTAGATGCTGCCGAGCGTCCTGGAGCAGCCGGAGCAGAACAACGTCTCAATCATGCTTTGAGAAAAAAATAAAAAAGCATGTGACATTTACGCAGGAAGGAAAATAACTACAGAAAGCCACCTGTGCCCAACTTCATCCCAAACGGGGCTCATCCAGGGTGACTTGGAGCCTCCTTCGCGCCCGCCCCCCATCCCCGCGCCTCACCATCCGCACTCTCCGGGCCGCTTGGACAGCTTCTGCTCCTTGTCCACCGAGACGCTGGGGGAGGCACCTGCGGGGAGGGAGAGGTGACCAACGGCCGCTAACGGCCGCCACGGGCCGCTCGGAGGGGCGGCGCCGGGCACTCACTGCGCAGCACGACGCAGCCCGTCTCCTCGTCGTTGGTCACCCAGCTGAGCGTGTCGCCCACGGGCCGCTTGCAGCCGGCGCAGAGGAACACCATGGGCATCAAGTCCTCGTCGCCCTCCGCCTGCCCTGCCGGCGGCGCCAGCTGCGGCCGCGGGTCCCGGCCGCCGCCCGCCTCCAGCAGCATGAGCGAGGAGTCCAGCTCCGCCATGCCCGCCTTCCAACTGCCCGCGCCGGAACTGGCCGTGACGCACTTCCGCCCGCCCGCCGGAGCCAATCCCCTCCTTAGAGGGGCGGGGACTCCGTGCCTCATTTGCATAGCCACGCCCGTCCCGCCTTGTGGCCACGCCCCTCGGGGGCACCGCCCCGATGTGGCCCCGCCCCCTCCCCTCAGCCGCTGCCTGGGGGCAGCCCCAAAATGGCGGCCGGGGCGGGCGCTGTGAGGCGAGCCCCGAGTGGGGGGCGCCGCCCTCTGTGAGGGGCGCCTCGAGTACTGCACCTAAGCACGCTGCTCACTGAAAGTCCCCCAAACAACCTCTCCCCCGTAGCTCCCCAGGGTGCCTCGCTGGTTTCTCAGTCTCCACGACACCGTTGGCACTTGTCCATCCCATCGCCATGTCCCCGCCAGCCCCAGGCAGGCTGAGGAACACCCTAACAGCCCTCTGGGGAGCCAGGGTCACGTCCGAAGGCGGCTGTCCCTCCTCTGTCAGGCACCAACATTAATTTCTGCCAAGCACGGTCCGGCACCAAGGCAGTCCTTGAGCTGCGGGGTGATTTACACAGGCATCGCTTACGCAACCTCTTTCTGAGGGCGCTGAAGCACAATGAGGGACAAAAAAAAAAAAAAAAAAAAAAAAAAAAGTATTTGGTTGGAGTACTGAGCTGGTTTAAAATGCACTCCCTCCCGACATGGCCAACAGGACCAACTCATCGGAGTACTTTTGGTCCTATGAGTATTACTGGGATTACATTGACCCGATCCCAGTGGATGGAAGGAAGCTGAAGGTTAATAAATGTGAGTAACGCTGACTGGCAGGTGCTGATCCAGCACAGCGGGCAAAATGTGGCAGAGCTTGTCGCACTGACTCGATTTTGCTTCTTTGTGAGAGTTATGTGTACGTGGTCTGTATGGACGGGTGTCTCCGTGCCCAGCTGCCTTACCTGCGCTGTGCCCTAACAGCACTAACTGCTAGCAATGCCGCTCTTTGCTTTGCCTCACAGTGCTTCAAACTCTAAGGCTGCTGCTATTAACTCTTATTTAGAAGGACAGGTATTTTTCTTAACCATTTGCTAAGTATAAACCTTACACTGTGCAAATCTGTAGTGTGGGGTGTGAGCTACCTGCTTGCTGCTCCCAGAAAAGTCAACTACATGAGCACAATTTTTTTTGTAAGACTATCCTGTTTTGTCTTGGGACGTATGGCTTACATTACAACTGATAAATATTTAAAACCTTGGTAAAGGAAGATGTTTGTGTTTCCACTAGCCAGGAACAACAAGCTGAAAATATATTCTATTGTTTTTCCTCCCGTGATTTACTGCTACTGAATTGTAAGCAGTAATATACGTTATCATCAAAACACTTGTTGCCATGAAAGCTGATTCTGCTGGGTTTAGGAGTTTATTTTCAAAGTGCCTGATGTGACATAATATTCTCTGAATTCAGCTGGGGACAGCTAATTCAATTTCACACTTGGTTTTGCACAATGGCATAGCAATGTATTTTTGCTATTATTTAAGTCAATCTTTTCTAATGTAACTGCATTGGTATGGGTTTACTAAAATAAAATCAGTAGTGTCGTGAGGGATTAACTGAAATGAGTATAGCTGGGTGGATTGATGAAGATCAGAGGCGAGTATATAGGCATGTTTGAGCCGCTAAGGCTATGGGCAGCGCTCTCCTGGGATTCCCATCAAGTCTCTCCCTGTGGTTGTATCCTTGTCTGAGTAATACAGCTGTGGGCTTTACTGGTCCCTATTCAGTTAGCTGAAGACAACTGCAACTAAATGGGTATGGGAGTCACTGCCTCTAGAAAAGCTTTTTTGCCTGTTCTGAGGAGCCTAGCATTATTGCCTCCAACTTTTGGTACCAAGAGCAACATACCTTAAATAAGGTGACGTAAATACCCACAGCCTTCGGTATATAAAACCCTGCTCCAGAATGCTGTAGAGCAACATTTGGTGCTGCTGGGAACAGGCAGGTTATGAGCAGCTTTACACCACTTTTCTAATTCTCTTAATTTTAAAGTTATGGCAGATAATTGCCCCCACATTCTTCCAGGGAACCTCTGAAACACCAAGTTTAGCAGGCTGTAAGTCCCCTGTATGTGGCTGGACTAGCAGAATTCAGGAATCTCAACTTTTTTTTTTTTTTTTTTTCCCTCATTAATAGCATCTTTTTAACATTTGGAGTCCCTGATATATAAGAGAGGTGGAGTTTGTGTTGCAGCATTTCCCTCCATGGTCATTTGTAGGATATTTCTCTTTACCCAGCTGCTTGTTTTCTTGAAACTTGTGGAAGTTTTGCTTCTGTGAGAAGACGCTCTCCTTCTGTTAAATTTAATTGAAATGCATTGATAGTTTCACAGAGGAAATCACCACATACCTATTTGAGTGCTTGTGAGTGATCTCATATAAGCCTTATTTCAATTAAAAACAAAACAACAAGAACCAAACAGAGAAAACCTTTCTCTTACTGATTTTTTTTATTTGTTCTCTCACCCTGAAGACACAGAGAAGTCTGACACCTGTCAGGTCTTTTTGTATTCTGAGGAGGTGACTTATGTGACCAGACTGTGTGTTTACACATCCAGTCTGCTCCTTCAGCATCTTCAGCTCATTGCCTGAATAACAAAGGAGTGGAGGCCCCCCAGATATAAAATTTCCTACAAGTTCCTACAGCTGGTGGTTGAATAATGGGGGAAGAACATGGTGAACGAAGACCTCTACTGACCAAAAAGCTGCAGGCAGAGATCGTGCCCTGTTAGGCACCGAGGAAATCACCCTTAGGCTAAGCATTGAGAAACAAATCTGCAGGAAACCAGGCTTCCGTATTTCAGCTGCCCATCTCCCAGGCAAAGAAGAGAAAGAAAGAGGAAACAGCATGGTGTGGGATATACTATTTTTCCCCTCTGCAGGCTAATGTTAAGGCAATTGGTGTCCCCTGGGGCGGCTGCTTATGTAAGGTATTTCTAGGCAGCGTGCCAAAACGGAGCTCTGCTCCGTGATTTGTGTCTTTAAAAAGCCCACGTTGGCTGTATCAATTTCTAAATTCCAAATGTTGGGTTTGGTTTCCTGATAGGCAGGGAAGTTAAATTGATGGTTTGGGGGTTTTGTGCTTCTTATAAAAACAGACATTTTTCCATGCCAGCGGTCCAGGAGGAATGGACATACTGCGTCATCTTAGTACTTTTATTCTTCCTTCTCCAAATACCGCTGGGACAGCAAGCTATAATAATTTTGCAGCTGGTTAGTTTCTTCCTTGCTTTGAGGAAAAGGGCTGGTCAAGCAATGAAGATACTTTGTAGGTTTTCCCATCTTTACAAAATCTTTACGTTCATATATTTTATATAGTTTATATAGTTTATATAGTTTATTTATTTATTTAATATAAAACAGAGACCTGAATCTCTGCACTTTCTTTCCTCTGTTATGTGGCCTGTCCCAGAAGCATGGTGAGAATGTGTTTGTCTCATGAAAATGAGCCTAAATCCAGCTATAAAGACTTGGTCTTGCTTTCTGTTAATAGCATTGTGTACTTCTATCCATTTTGTATAAAAATAATAAAAAGCTTAATTGACCCATGAACTAATAGGATATTTAAAACAAACACACACCCATACAAACGGTGACTGTAAACGTTAGCACTCGGAGAGCTTTTTATTGATTGTTAAAATACGTTATCCCAGTTCAGAAAAATCCTAATTGCAAGGCTTTAAAAACAGTCGGGAAGTTTCTGTTTATCCCTCTTGAGTTCAAATTTCCCCTGAGAGCTGAAACAAATTCGATTAGCTTCAGTGAATTCCATGGATCATACTAAAACTTCTCTTAAAAGGTGAAACTCAAATAGCTGTGATATAGAGGGCTATAAATTCCAGCTCTGCACTTCTGTCCACTTGGCTTTGAGCACTTAAATACTGAGCTTTTCAAAATATTTCTAGATCGTGAGCTTTTTGGTTTTGGTTTAGTCTTTTTAAACACAAGTCAATAATTTTCCCCTGAGGAGCTGAGACTGGCCAGTAGCACCCAGTCACCGAGTCCCTTCATTTTTGGAAGAGTAGGACAGAATACTGGCCCTCACATCCTAACTTACCTTCCTCTGAATTAAAGCTCAGTAAAATTTTGTTTAAAAGGGGAAGAATGAAATAAGCCGATGCTCCAGAAGTCATTTTGCACATTCTTATTTCTCAGTATCCCAGCCAAAACTGAACTCTCTGATAAGAGTTCCGCTGGGTCAGCTCTAGTTTAAGGTTTAAAGGAGCTAGAATAACCCCATAATCTCTTGGTGGCTCTGATGACAACACGTTCTGAACTTTTTCACAAAGAAACACCTAATCAAACATACTGGACCTGTTTCAAAGAACATGAATGTTTTTTGTCCTTTGAGATAGAAGATTTATTTTATCCTGGTCAATATTTGTCTCTGGAGTCAATGACCCTTCTTTTTCACCTCAGTCGAAGTGGGTAGCCAGTGATGAATTCAGGGCATTTCTCAGCTTGTGCCCTGCCCAACTCACAACCTTTCCAAGGCTTTAACTGGGAAGTTCACCACTGCACTGATCCCAGGAAGGAGCATGTTGAACCAGTGACCAAAGGTGCTACTGGGGCAGGAGCAGATTCATCCCATCTAATAGCAAGCCTGTAACTGAGGCAGTAATTTCAGCAGCACTGCAGCCTTAATTCATTACGGACCAGCTCCCAAAACTGTTTCTGAGCCCCATTAGTGCTATTTTTTTTTTCCTTTCACTAATTTAAAAAAAACAAACAAAAACAAGTTTTCATCTGAATCAGAGATAACAGCAGTGGCAGTACCTTAGGTTGGTTTAAACCAATTCTGAACACGTACTGCAGTGCTAGGAATCCACTTATTGGTTCCTTACAGAAATCAGTCCTGGTAAAGTAGGCTTCATTTTGAACAATTTCGTGATGATGACAGAAGTATTACAGCTGGGCAGGGGACAATCCACAGTCTCTTCCACTGGACTGTTGTGTTAGGAAGGTCACGAGTGCTTTTCAACATGCTTTCCTGTGTGAAAGTCCAGCATTTCCTAGTAGAAAATATTTTCAAAGCTAGAATTCCCTCCCTGAAAGCATCCTCTTAAGGGTCACGTGTAGTACCTCTTCACCTGAGGACAGGATGTGGCTGTGCACTGAGCAGTAGCAGCTCAGTCTTGAGTACAGCACTGTGGTTTTGTAAAAGGAACTGTATTCCCTACGAACAGCCAAAATGGAAAAATATCCTAAGTACTCAGGATTACCTTTCAAAAATATGCATAGTCCTAGTCACCATCACACTTACTCCATTTTTTCCAGCCTTTCCCCAGCCCTGGCCATATACTGTCACAATAAATTGCCAGGAGGCTCTTAAGACTTTTAGCAAATTGTCACTCGCATTCCCCTCTCTCGGGGGCTTAATTAAGTTGAATTAGTTCCATGACACACATGATCATAAACTATACGCTATAAACTATACAGATCATAAACTATATTGCTGCGTTTTGCATTTGCTGTGTTACCAGTGACAGAATTACTGTGTTGTGTTCACAGATTCTATTGTCATAGCCTTTTGGGTTGGACTTGCTGCCTTTGTGATGTTTCTTTTCCTTATTTTGCTGTATATGTCCCGCTCTGGATCAAGTCCAGTAAAGTAAGTACAATCAGAAGTGAAGTAAGTATAGCTAAGCGTGATCAAACTATCTGCATGAACCATTCATTCACTGCTTTGAATGATCCAGCAATTATATTCAACGTTTATAATTGCACACCGAGATGACACTTGTTATGTTATGAGTTGGTTTGAGTGCCTCTCAACCCACTGCTAGGCACTGTTGGTATTAATCACCTGGATAAAAATAGGAATTCGTAACTGTTGGGGTTTGCTGATGAGAGAAAGATGGGGGAAGAGGAAAGCACAGGGACGGGCAGAGAGGCCTGGTCTACCCGGTGTGTTGGCAAACACATTTTACTTATGCCAGCTATCAAGGCTATGTATTATAAACGTGTCTGCTTTACACACAGAATGAGGGAGTACCCCACATAAAGCACACCCAGGAAGGAAGTGGGAATAATGATGGTAAAGTAGGTGGACATGAGCTCCCAACACGATCCTATAAGACTTGATTAAGAGAAAACTTACCAGTGAGATCACAAAAGTCATAATCCTATGTGTGGCATTGTTTAGACCATTCCAAGAATGCCGTATGTATATTAGAATGCACTCTCTTTAAAGGGGGTTTTAAAGAAATTGGGAAGAATTGGGGATAAAAAATGAGATCCAGAAAATGTGTCCTAAGATGAGAGAAATATACTCAAATCAATTAATTTCTCAAGGAGCAGCGGCTCAAGGATGCTGTTCTATCTTTAGAACAGCTTTTAGTGCCCAAGAGCCCGATGATAACAATCAAAGGGTAAAGTGTGGTCAAGTATTAAAAAGCAATGGCTGGAAGCTGCTGCTGCTCAAGCTCGCCTGTTCCACATGTTTCATCTGAGGGCAGTGATTCACTGGAACAATTTAGAGTGGTACATTAAGTTGGTTGTGATTAATTCTTTTTTTGCTTGATGACTTAACGTCTAAAAAACACACAGTTGTATTCATCCCCAAATTACTGCGAGGAGTCAATGGGCTAATGCTCTATGCCCTGTTGTGCAGAAGCGTCTTTCCTGCCTGAAATAAGTGAGTAGCTCACTCCCTAAATACTTTAAAGTTCTTGGAATTTAAATTAACTCTGTGAAAATACGGATGTATAGCTCTCTGAAGATCTAAGCCTATTTTCTATTCTTTTCTTGTTTGGCAAATCCTGCCAATAGACAGACAGTGCTTTCCTTCCCAAAGGGGGCCCACATCTGAACTGCAGTCCTTCAGCATAGTAAGCCCTGGGTAAAACTACAAACACTCTTAGTCAGAGGCAATATTAATCATTTGGAAGTGTAGTTGTGAAATGACTTGAAGCACCTGCCAACCACGAGCACGTAGCATTCACAATACCAGTCAGCTTAGGAGTGAAATAACATGGTTCAACTGGGTTTTCGCTTGGGCCAGAATCTGCTGGAATTAGCCTCAGGCCATTTCCCTGCAATTAATGCTTACATTCTGTTACCCTTACCTTGGTAACTTAATTGAAATTTCAGTAGAAGTACTATTCACCACTAGGGAGACAGAGATGGGTCGAAGCTAGTGAGTAGCCCCGTAAAGCATGATGATGATTTTCAGGCTCAGAGTGTGTGCAGTACACACAGCTCTGTAGAAGGGCATCTGGATTTACAGGGAGATCCCAGATGGGCATGTTAGTGTCAGACAGACTGTTTTTTACAGCTGGGCCTGACAAAACAAGGAAAGATCCACCAGTGGCAGATAGCTGGAATAGCTAACCTGTTTTAGTAGAGTGTTTCTACCCAAAGCCTCCGTGGCTGAAAAGAGACACCGAGTAAAACCCCCACTGGACAGGTGTCCCCAGTTCTCTAAGCATTACAGACCCTGCCCTGTGAAGAACCAGGTGGGGGCTACTCAGGTACCTGTAGGGGATGCAGACGCAGTGCTCACGGATGTGCAGCACCCACGTGCTGAGTGGGAAGGTAGTTGTAACGCTGCCTGTCAACCTGAACTTTGTCTAAGGACAGGTTTCTGTTTGCAGCTTTCTACATTTGGTTTGCTTTGTTTGCTGCTGGGTTTTCTGGCAAACACGTTTTATGCAAACAGGGATGCATTTGCCCGCTGCTCCTCCTAATCTGATCAGGACACAGAAAATTCAGCTCAGCAAATTAGGCAGAGGTTCAAGATTAGGTCACAAACAAGCAGAGGGAAGCAAGGGTATAATATGGCAGTAAAAAAAAAAAAAAAAAAAAAAAAAGGGAACACTAAAACACTAATAGTTGAATTTATTGGCACCCTAAGGCCTCTGGCATGCTCACAAAAGGTAACAGCAACAATAAAAAAGGCAACTTGCCCAAATAAACCACAAAGCAGGAGGCAAGCTAATAATACAAGAAACACATGGAAATGGACATGAAATTACACGGTAACAGAGGCCTGTTCCCATTAATCTGCTGTTACTGAAAAAAGTGGCAGAAGTCTGTACGCATGAATATCTCGGTGTGTTCAGAGGATTTTTTTTAGAAGTATCTTTTTTAAAATCACTTCTATGTTATGCTACTGAATTAAATGCTGGGCTTACAAATATCCATCTTCATCCCCAATATGTTCAGTCTCACCCACTGAAAGCTGTTGTGACCAAGGAGGTTTTTGTGGAATGCCTAGGAATCATTAATGGAAAGCAGTATTGGATGAGGTTTGCTTAGGGCTTTAAAGCATCCTGTCTTATCAGGTTTCTATGCTTAAAATATACTGGGGGAAAAAAAAAATATTAAACCCTCCAAATTTGCTTTTTTGGATTGAGTTCCATTTGTTTTCTAACCACCTGCTCCAATTACTCTTCTCTTCATTTCAGCAAGAAAACATAGTAAAAATTCTTCCTGTTAGCTTCCACCATCCTCCTCTTTCTTCTTCTTTTTCTGTAATCCATTCATTATCATTGGCATGCCTATCAACTATATTCAGCACAGATATCTCCTTACTCTTTTGCCATGATAATCGTGACACCTTCACCTAACAAATGTACATGTGCGTCACTGGTCAAGGCTGGGGAACTTTTACCTTCACGGTTTCTGTGTTCATCCGTCTCTCTGTCAAACCCAGGGGCACATAGGACGTTATGTTCTGTTTCAGCTTGCTCAGTTGCTTGGTGAAACAAGCATGCTTTCACATCTGAACATTTATAGGAGCATTTCTTCTTGCTTTCGCTTGTCCCCAGCTGACCGTCAAGCAAACCCCTACTGCCATAGGTCAATCTGTCTTTATTGTCAGCTGGATCTCTGTGGGATCCCTGAGGATTACACTTTGGCCTTGTACAACGTGCAATGATCATCTCTCTTCTACCACTGTGTACGCCGATGTCTTAATATGTTGGCAAGGCCATGACATCTGCCACAGGATAGTCTGCTGACTTTTAGCTGCATACCCATACGGAAAAGAAGCCAAAGTGTCTTCCAAAAGCCGTATGCAATGACTAGATCTACTTATTCCACAGCATAATCCTGAGATGCTGAGAGGTCCCGGACCCAACGCTGTGGTCTGATTGCACCACGCTCGTCTCCACAATACAGAACAGTTTGGTGCCAAGTCAGATGAGCAAGCTCAAGAGAGGGGCGAGGGTTGATCCTCGCAAGACAGCTGCAAGAAAGAATCCATGTCCCAGTCCCTTTTGTCACTGTTATGCCATCCCTACAAAAAGAAAGAAAAAAATGGTTTGGGACCAATTATTTCAAACCCATTAGCATGCCAAGGCAGTTACCACACTGTTGTAATCAAGAGCCAGCACTAACATTTACATAAACTGTATTTCTTACCATCCAAAATGATATATCCAAGTGATATATATATATATTTCTGTTCTTATGAATATTTAGTGATACAGAAAATAGGGTTAGTGGCTGGAAACATCTGACTGGAGACTTGAACGTGATGCAGATAACACAACTTCCTAGTCCTCTTGGGGAAAACCTGTGTTCCCACTGCTGGCTGTGCATCCCTGACGGCCTGACTGAGGCTGCTGTGGACATCCAAAGTCTTCAGATAACCACTTGCCTCACAGACAGTGTAATAGGGGAGGCAAAAAATGAAGATCTGCATATCTGATCCCTTATCAACACTTCTTGCTGTCATGGTAGCCTCAGAAGTGGAATCTACCAAGTGGCTCTGGACTCCTTGGCAGCATGAGCCTTGTGGACTCTTGCAGTAAGAAACCTGACTCAGTGTTTTGATATTTTTCCCCCTAACTACGACCAACTTTTACCTGATATTGCTGAGGCATACAGTAACATAGCTTTGGGATCCCTCTTGCCAGACAGAGATGTGTGACTTGGCTTTAAAACGCTTGTTCTGCAGCCAGCTATTGTCTCAGTTTGCAGGTGAGGGCTTCCTTCACGGACAGACAGATAACCACTGCTTTGGTGGACAGACTGTACAATGTCCATGTGTTTTTTCAATTCTCTGCTCCATCCAGATCAATTGCAACAGCTGCTTCATTCCTGGAACTGGGGAACTAATTTGGATATTTGGCAGCTCAGGGATTTTGATGTGTAGGACAAAAAAAAAAAAAAAAAAAAAAAAAAAAAAAAATCTGTGGTAATATCCTAGATCTCATATGAGGGCAGATAATTTTCCTTTTTTTTTTTATTTTTATTTTTATATATATCTTCAAAATTGAAATATGCGTTAGTGAACAACATACCCACTGTGTCTCTCTTACAATAACAGAAAGTACCTATTCCTGTACACAAAGGCAGTCAATCTGATACTCAGGGTGCCAGATTATATTCCTCCTGCTGACAATAAGAAGTGTCATAGCTCTGCTTGGCCGTGCCACCTTTTCTTTGGGGAGACGAAGTTCTTAATAATACCATAGTAAGAAGATCATCATGAGAGGTACTTCTCTGATAAAGCAGGTCATGCTCTGCTCCTGTTCTCTGCTATCTTCAGCCCTCTCTCTCCTGTATTTAGGACAGCTAAATCCTTAAAGCTGGCTTCCCATATGCAGTGTTCCTGGGGATCTATCCCAAATTCTCCCTGGTACAGTTTCTCAAACAGCAGATAATAAGTTTTCCTCAAGGCTCTGGTTTCAAGGGATGAAGCTGTCTTCCACACCTCCATCGTTAGGAGAATTTTCTCTTTTCATGCTGACAGACCCAGATCCTTTTCATGTAAGAAGCTGTCAGAGCCAGAGGAGCACAGGCTGTCAAAGCTGGTTACAGGACTTCAGTCATCAGAACTCAAGTTACAGGGCCTTCACAGAAAAGTGTTCCTGCTGCTGCCATCAAAGGCTGACCACCTGGAGCACGCTCCGTACCTCTTGGCAGGCATCGTGGCTCTGTCTGATGTGACACTGGTACAGTGGTGCTGAGGTTGCTCAGGGAGAACTTATCTCCAAGTGAAAAATAAGTCTGGGGTTTTGGTTAGCACCAGCCAGAGTCTGCATGTGTGTGTGAACTCACAGACAGGAAGAGAGATTGCTTACCAGTGATCAGGGTCCTTCCAAAAACCACATGCATGATCACTGCAGATAGACCAAACTATACTAAATATATGAAAATTTAGAATTATAGTATAATCTACTACAGGTTTTCAAAGATCAAGTCTGTCTCTAGAAGTCCATAAATACAGAATATTGACTCTACATTTTTTTCCTTATCATCTCTAGCTTTTCTGTGCTGTCACAATTTACTGTTTTTAAGGAGAGCCATTTTTGAAAAGCCTGCAGTTCTCAATGAAGATTATTACTGCCAGGATTGAGGCTTTAAGTTTAATTTTGTTTGAATAGGTCCATCTTACCTGGCTGTCCAGTCTGTACTATGACTCTTTGCTCTTCCTTGTATTGTTGTATCTTGATGTGCAGCTTTCTTTCAGAGTGATTTTACACGTGCTTCCAGATCACTGATGAAAATGCCGAGCTGCATCAGGTCCCTATGGAGCCCAGCCTGGAACATCCACAGTCAGTGATCATTCTCCAGTTACGCTTTGAGCAGCCTAGCTCACTTAACACCTGTTTAATGGGTTTGAGGCATACTTCTTTTTAAAGAAATCAATACAGAATATTACTTCAAATGCCTTGCTGCAGTTCAGATAGCTCACATACATGCAACTACCTTTATCTTCCAAATGGGATTCCCCTAAAGAAATGAAATCAGCCATGTTTCACTGTCCTTGTCTTTCTCTAAAACCACACTGTTGGGAATTACTTTTTTTGTCCCTTGGAATACTTGTTCAGTTGTACCTTACCTTAGTTTTAATTCCATGATTTTTTCATTTTGCCTGGGGCTGAGGTCAGTTACATTGGCTTGTGGTGACCTGGCTTGACCAGTTCACTCCCTTTGGGTACTGGGACACCAGGGCCCTTCCATCACATTTCATCTCATCACATTTCTTCACTGTTCCAAGGGTGGTTAAAGATTAACAAGAGCCAGCCAGAGCTCTCCTCAGACAGTTTGCAGATCTCTGGGAGGCAAGTTCTCCCGCTGATTTAAGAATATGGATAGCTAGCTGATGATGTTCAGCTGCTTAATGGACTGGAAAGAAAGCATCCCACTTCGGTAAGAGTATTTTTGTCTTGCTTCTGTCAAACAGAGAGAAGAGAGATCTCTTGAATATGCCTGCATCACATCAAAGCAAACTCCAAGTCTGCCTGCCTCCATCCCATGGTGGGCGTATTACTGAGACTTTGGGGTTTTGTTTTATTTATTTTTGTAATTACCATTAAGCAAGATCCCTGCTGAATTAGTTTTGTCAGGAACAGATATTTGAAGCTTTCATAAGTAATTAATATAAATTCGAAGTTACAAAGTTTATATTTTCCTTCCTCTATATTATTCAAAATAATTATTTCCCATACAATTATTTTCCCAATTTTGTTACTTTTGTGTAACCACTGAAACAAACGTAGCGTTTAGTCAAAGATCCCCTCTTTTTTTTTTGTCTGTTAATCTGTGGCACCAGGACATTAATAAGACTTTTCAAAAAAATTTCCATTTTCACTTATACTTTTGGGTTACATTTTTCTTCCCAATGTAATTTTCCTCCTCATCTTTGAAGCCCTAAGAATGTAGTTCTAGTTGGGACCATCTTGTGTTTAGCCATACAGAATGAAATTTACTGCTTTTAGCCCAAAGCTATCTGCCTTTTATTTTTTAAGGGCGATGTTTGGGAAGCTGCTGGGAAGAGGAGACAGGGTATGCTCAGCTGTTCTCATATCATCACCCCCTACACCCTACCACTAACTTGATTTTTCTGGCAGAACCATACATCTTTGCCATGTTATTTGTACGCTGAAAATTTCACACTACCCTTGTGCTACCTTCTTTTTCTTGCTCAGATCCCCACCCCTCCTTAAACTGCCTTTTCCCAGTGCTAGTGTCAGGGAACCTCTCCCAGATGTCACACATCCCTCTTGCTGTCGCTCCCAGTGTAAGTGGCTCTGTCTCTTGTACTCTCACTCGATTTACACATCACTCCTAACCCCCTTCCCTTCCAGGACCAGCTGTGAGAGGTCCCTTCACTCTTGCTACAGAACAAGTCATAGCAAAGTTTCTGGTTCCCTCTTTAAAAATCGAGATAAAGAACTGGATCAAGGGCTTAAGGGCTGGACTGAAGGTCTCATGTTGAGTGAGGGAGTTCACCAAATGTGGCTCACAGCTCACCATTTTGCTGTTGGTCACACTCCATTTGCAGGTAAGGACATAATTCTGATGGTGGATAAAGAGGGCTGAAGTCCAGAATATCTATATTTCTAAAACATTAATAATGTACTTGCTTATGAAATTGCTGCTATCTTCCAGGCTATGGTCCCCGATAACAATACTTTTTTTTCTTTCCACATGTTACAGACGGGTGATTGTAGGGAACCAGGCAGAAGAAAGCAGTTCCAACAGCGAACAGCCTCACTGCGATGACCTCAGCAGCCCATACACGGATGAGGTTGCTCCTGGAACACCTAACTAACTCCCTCTCAGATGAAACTGGCATTCATGGAAGTACCTCAGCCTGAGATAAAACTGGAACAGGTTAAACAAAAACAGCTGGACAGTTCTCCTGACTGTAGAGAAGATTAGTTCCTTAGGTTGCAGCTGGATTAGTTCAGGAAAAGATAAAAAAAAAAAAAAAAAGAAAAAAAAAAAAGATGTCTTTCAACAAAGACTGAAACTGATGCCTAAAAGGAAGCACTAACCACCATATTGGAGCACTGTTGCTGCAGTTGCCTGATTAGAAGAGCATTTTAGATTCTGATGACTGCAAAATTTCTCTCACTTAAGTAAAGATTCAATATAATCTTTCAGTTATGAGGTGCAAAGGGTGTGCTGCCTGCTGAGTGATTCTCATTAACACCCATTTGGCTGAGAGCAGATTTGCTCCTCCAGCAGAAAGCGCGTCACAGTTACGCCCCATGTCCTGCAAAGAGTTCTGCTTTGCTTACCTAAGCACACGCAAAGCCCTTTTATCCTCAGGGGTGTCTCTGCAGCATCAGTCTTCACTCGGTTTTCTTGCTGTGAAAGAAACCACCAACACATTGATCAGGCAACACAACATTGTTTATAGCCACGATGACACAAGTCATCTATTTCTGGCTCTGTCCTCAGCTCGCAGTCTCATCAATTGCATCTTAGAGACATCTCCACTTGGCCAGCCTCTGAAAAATAAGCAGTAATGTCAAGTGCAATATCAACAATAAAACTTTGCTTTTGGAAGGGTTACATCTTGCTCTACTGTCTTAAAGCTCAGCAGTTCCCTCAAGGACAGAATATACTTTGTATTTATTTTCCTATTGCAAAATTATATATATTTGGGTTAGCTGAAAATTATTAAAACACTGGTTAGCTAGAACAGCCTTTAAAAAGCTATTGAGCTATTGGCAGCATTCATTATCTCAAGTGGTTGTGTCTTCCTGAATAAACTCGTTAGCTTTAGCAATTGCCCAGAAATAGTTTTGCTGCTAATAGCCAGTCCCCTTTTCCTTTCTCTTGGAATGGCAGGTGACAAAGAAACTGAACAATCTCGAAACGGTATCTTAGGGCTACAGCAAGCACGGCACCACGAGTGCAGAGTCGGGCTGTGGAAGGCAGCGAGGCTGGAGTGGCTAAAAGACCCCACAGCGAGCTGCTGGGCTGAGGACCGCACACAATTCATTCGAAACTTGAGGAAAAACTTAGAAATTTCACCTCACCAAGCAGGCAGCCAAAACTCCTCCAGGGAAGCACTGCCAGAGCGGCCACGTGCTGCGCAGGGAGCGCGGGCTGTGATGTTACCAGAGAGCGGGTGGGCTGGGCTGTGGTAAAAAAGCCTCAAACGCAAGAGACAGACCAAACCACCAGGCATGTATTCGTGTTGAGTGTTGCTTTCTTTAAAAAAAATAAAATAATTTTTTTTAAATCTCTGAGGTAAACACTTCTGCCGTTTGCTTTTTGAGCAAACCGACCACCGCTTTGGTTAGGCGTGGAATCCGATCAAGGCCTCAAGTCCACCAAGTCAGGAACAAGTGGAGGAAGCAAGGGAAGACTGCAGAAACTGAAGACATTACATGGACAGAGACGTGTCAGAGATACGAAGTTTTCCATTAATCAGCTCAGATGGCCTTCCCCACCTCTCAGATACGCTTATCTCTTGCTGCTTCACACAGGACACACAAATAACAGTGGTGGTGAAAGCCGGACTACCTTCTGTTTAGCAACAAAGCTCCCCTTGCCTTAAAGGGGGGAGAATTTCTCCCTGGTCAGCACCTGTCCCACTGCAAGTTGTGTCTACCTCGTGTCTAGAATCACACCAGGAGGCTGAAGAAGACCTCACCATCTCAACCCATTTTCCTCCTCAGGGATGCATCTGCCCTGACCTAGAAATCCTCTCCAGCAGCAGGACATCACGGCCTTGTGGTGCTGTTGGCTCCACCCTCCTCTTCGCTGACTCGTGACAGACCCCACACCTGCTTCTCAAGAGCCTCCTTTCCACAGATGGCTTCCAAGGGGATTTCTGAAACGTCCTGATGCTCCCATTCGTAACGAGGAGCGTTCTTGCAGTAGGCACACTGAAACATGTATGTGGTATGTAACCACAGAAAAGGGTGTTAGTGTTTTTGTTTTGTTTTGGGTTTGTTTTCCTATAAAATTATCTGGAAACTTTCACAATGGCTTAGGAATTAAAAGATTATGATTACTGCCTTTTTTTTTTTTAATACAAGATAAAATAAGCAAAATGCAAGCCTATCTTACATGTCTAACTCGGGAGGAAGGGACAGAAATGCATTTCTTGCAGTGACATTTCCATACACACCCATTTCAAGGCCCTTTCAGTGCTCTGCTGTTCCCAGTTAGTATTTAATTTCTCCTTCCCCCAGACTCCTCAGTTAACAGAGGCCTTCCCTCCGTAGCCTTCAGCATCCCCACCCTGTTGAACTGCTGCAGCCATCAGCCAACAAGGCACGACCCAAATCACCTCATGCTGCAGGTTCAAATTGTTGACGACCATAAAAATCCTACCCCAAAATGCACTGCCCTCCCCAAGACATGGTACAAGCAACTGAGCCCGGTTGCTCACAGTATGTGAAACCCTCCCAGCACGTCAGACGTCTCCTCACCTGCACGCCAGCACCGTGGGGCTGAGGTCTACTTAAACCTGAGGAGCCCCACCTGCACTCAAACCTGCAGGTACCTCCTGTACATACCTCATACCTCAGGAAGCAACGTGTCTTTGGGGTTGTTGCCTTCACCAAATTCTTGTCAGCTTTGAGGAAAAGGCTTAAGAGGCCTGTCCTCATGATGACTTCTGTAAGGGCAGGCCGCTGGGCCCACTGCAGGGCATGGTTCTCATCACAAGAACATCGAAGCAAATAACTTGCACTAAGCTGTAGGAACTCCTTGTTTTAAAACACAGGTCCATACACAGGGCAAGCCTTCCACTTCTGAATCCTCCCTACAATTTATTTTATTGAAGCATAGTTTTTTTAAATGACTCACCGTGTAATTTATTATAATGAATTTTGAGCATGTTGGCAGTAATTCACACACACAAATCATTCAACTGCTAACCATCTGCTTTTTTAAAGATATTTGACCATTATTTCCTGAAGGACTCCGTAATAATCTTTTAATTGCTACATAACTACAACACATTGAAGCTCACAGAAGCAGTGAGAGATTAATTTGTTTCTAAAAGTTCCCACATGCAGAGCGGCGTTGTCTTTACTGAGAAGCAGATATGAGCTATACATTTTTGACATGAGAGGCTGGCAGCTTTAAATTGTCAGCTTATTTACATTATTTTTGTTTCCAAACCAACCATAAAGTGTATGAAGAATACTCTTCTCCAACCTTGAATGTTTTAATAGCAATGTTGGAGATGCTAACAAAACACTAAAAGCCAGGGAGACATCAATCAATACTGTTTTTTCCAAACATTTAAGGCTATCAGAAGACCATCATTTAAATATGCACCCTCATGGCAGGCTCACACATAATTAGCCTGCATTTAAGAAAGCATACTGACACACATGACTGCCTCTAGGTGCAGTCGTGGTCTCCTCATGCTACTGTACACTTCTGTAGCACCACGCACCTTGTCAGCTAAAGCCAGCTGTAACCTTGACAGTCATCCTACTTATTGTAGCAGTGACAAAACTGTGTGCAGACATCACCGTTTCCACTAACAGAGGGAAATATCACAGTGTGCAAATTGCTGTTTAACCAGAAGTAATTCAGCGTGCCCGTTTGCATGTGATGCACCTATTTCCAGAAACAGATCTGAACTCACAAATTGCTCTTCCACGTGGATGAGATTCAACAAATGAATTCTGCTCTGGCCAGTAACACAGTTGCACAATTTTTTGTAAAGCAAACAGGGCGTGAGAAAGGGTATTACAAGGCACAGAGGTGCACTCTGCAAAACAGCCTGGGCTTGCAACTTGTGGAAGACTGTAAAAAAGGGGGTGTTGCACTCAGGGTTTGGGTTTTGTTCACTTGGAAGGGTCTACAAGTACATCTACTCCTGGTCAGTAACACATCAGATATTGTGATGGGTTGACCCTGGACTACAGGCAGCTCCCACCCAGCTGCTCTCCCGCTCCCCCTCCTCAACAGGACAGGGAGAAAATAGGATGGAAAAGCTCAGGGGTCATAATTAAGACAGGGAGATTGCTTACCAGTTGCCATCAGAGGCAAAACAGACTTGACAGGGGGAAAATTCATTTTATTTATTGCCAATAGATTTGGGCAGTGACTGAATTTCTCTAGTCCCACGTGAAAACACATTTCTGCATTGCAGTCTTTACATTGGATTGAATGGTTCTATCTCATTTCTTAAATTCTCTCAAACAAGTCATACTATAAACCATTGCTAGAGGTCTCTCAAGACAGCTGAAAACTCTTTCCCTGCATGTCATGAGTCCTTTCTGTTACAGGCAGATGAGATGGCAAGACAGCTTTCCATTTAGCTCCAGTTCTAGCCAATTATTTCATATTCTGGCACTTGCAAATCCTTCGGTTTCATTCATCTCTTCATTTTGTTTTTTAAATTAAATAGAAAACACCTTTTCATTGCAAAGAAAATTTCTTGATGCCACACTCTAGGGATTCTGTATCAATATTATGTCACACTTTAGCCTTTAATGGGCTTGCAGCATTTTCAAGATGTATTTTGCTATTTTTAAACCAAGCCTTCAAACAGATATTATGGCTTATTTAAGAGAAAATATTTACATGCAGAAGCAATCCTCATTATTTGCATCTCACGTTCTTTTATTCTTTAAAAAAAGCACATTATATAAATAACACAAGGAGTGTGCATTTCTGATTTTTTTCTCTAGTACAGAATTTGTACAAAGCACCTAGGCACAGCACGTTTTCATGAGTCAATTTAATAAATCCTGTTTTACACTTCAAAGGCTCAACTTCAGACCCTGCGTGTTTGCATACCTGGAATGGTTTATTATCTGCCCTCAAGGCCACATTCAAGAAATATGTATCAGATTTCACAGAGAATTTCCAATAAAAAATATGTATTATCAATCAGCAGCAAGTCATTGGAGTTTTAGTTCTCTCTCTCAGCTTTTCAGAGTGGAGAGAAGAGAGGTCTTCATTGCAAGTTCCAGCAGTGGTGATGGTCAGGACTTTTTTTTTTAATAAAAAAATATGTATATATATATATTAAAAAACAAAACAAAAACAACAGAGAACCGAGAGAAAAAACACTTTCAAAAGGAACTGAAAAAATAGAAGAATCCTACACCATTGCGATGCCAGTGTTCAGCATCTTGTCTTTGTACCAGTTGTATCATCTTGTATCATGAAGGAAGCTGGATGCTTCAAAAAATAGTAAATCATCATGGCTAAACTCCTGAATACTTGTTTGCACTTATACTCGACTGTGGTGATGTACTGCAGTCCTTTTCCCCATCTTACATTGGAGAGAGGATGGAGACTGAAATAGAGTCCAGAGGCAACACATTCATCAGCCCTTTTTGGTTCTTCAGAAAGTTAAAAGTGGTGTAAATGACATTCAGTACCCTTACTGTTGAAGAAAAGGAAAATTACGGCTTTAATGTTCCACTGAGAGATGATGAATACAAGTCTTCCCCCCTGAGTTTGCACACAGTAATAAAATATTGATCTTATGACAAAGTAAGTTAGATTTGTATGAGGAACAGTTCAGGAGGGTTTCATGGCTCACAGCAATGATGACAGAGCATATAACATTAAAGACTAAGTGTCAGTTCACTGAATTAATGCCCCAATGTAGCCGAGTAAAGGGTTTTGCAAAGAGGCACAATAGTTTCTTCTCCTTGTTTATGAGTTTCCATGTCATCATCGTTTAATTCATCATCTGTATTACTGCAGATCAATTTGACATGGGTTATTAACATATCTGGCTCCTGTGCTCCAAGCCATATGTCCCCAATGTAAACAGAAGTCAGGAATACACAAACAGCTGTGGAAGAAAAATTAGAGAAAAATCAGAACAGATATGCTTATATTTCCACATCACAATACCAAAATAACCCACTTTACCTCCAGAACTATGTTTTACTAACCCTTTCCTAGATGGAAAACGTGTGGGTTTTTTGCTCATACAAAGCCAATGATCCTTCCCATAGTGAGGGATGAAAGTGGTTTCTTGTTAGCACACCCTTCTGACAGGTTTAAATAAAAAGCTTTGAAATCTGACCTGTGTCTTTCTCTGTCAAATAGGAACACTGAGCAGTACATGGATCATAACCCACCTGGACTTATTTGTTGCAGACTATTTTGTCCCTTGGAGTTGTGTGTTATACACCTCACTGAACTCCATTATAATCCTAGAAATGAAAGTTTCTTCCAGGGAGTATGACTACTGTACTACCAGAAATCCCTACAGTACAGCCACGTTCTGTGCTACCAACCCACGTGGCTACACCACCAGAGATAAAAATCTTCACTTTGTTGAGTGATGAGAACCAACAGACACAGGCAAACTTCAGTTCTGTTGACTGAAAAACCCCATGGAACTACCATTAGCCCCTCTGCCTTGTAATCCAAGTGGAAAAGAAAAGACAAGTTACCTTTCTTGTTCACCTCCTCTTCCGTCATCGCTGAAAGGCACAATGTTTTCACGAGCTCATGAAAGCTGTTGTTAGTCAGGCCCTGAGCATCCATGAGGTGAAGCATGATTGAGCTAAACAGACAGAGCTCTTCCAAGTGTCCAGCTGTCCCACTGCTGGCCTCACAGACGCGGGTGTAAAACTTGAAGATGTTGTTTCTCAGCGTCTCGTCCCCAAGCACCTCCTGCACTACCCCTGGGTGCGGCAGGACGCAATTCTGCAGCCACCGCAGAGTTAGCAAAACATTTTTCATATTGAGACTGTGCTCAACCATCGATTTTACGAGCCATTTAGTTACTATGGAAGTGGTCGCACAGTTAAGATTGACTGCTTCATCTGCAAGGTCACCAGATTTGAGGGGATCCTCTGGATGTTTGGTAAGCATTGCCGGGAAAGCAGGTTCCCAGTGGGCAAATATGGCATTCAGATCATCTCTGCATTTCTCCAGCTCAGAGACTTTTAGCTCCTCAGCAGTGTCATCTTCTCTTTCTGTCTCTTTCTTTCTCCGAGTGTGATGATGTCCTTGAGACGAGGCTTGGGATTTGTTCTTTTCTTTAATATTTTATGTAAGAAAAACAACATCAAAACAGA